TCTAATGACAAAATCCGCAATCACTTAGTTGCCAAGCCAACATTAGGACGAAAGAAACGCCAGAAATATTTCGCCGGACGTGAAATACGTTCGCAAGCCTGTTTCACGCGTGCAATTGTAATATCCGTTTTTACAATGAACTTTTACTCGGCATCGGAAAATTTATCGCCCTCTGGCAAAGTAATTGTTTTAGCAGACTAATAATGCGAGGAATACGCGGTTTACTGTTCTCGTTAAACAAAAAGAATAACAGTCGTGCGAAATATTCGAGATCCTTTTCCATTGTATGCGCTTCGGCGTGTTTCCGTTCGATAGAAAGTCGATGGCTTCGAACAGTTGTACCGCGACATTTGCGAACACGATCGAAAGCGACGATATATGTATATCCTGTCTCTTGCGTGTACGATCGATCGATCGAACGCTGATCCTACCTGCAGATATATAAATATTATCGTAATTGAACAAATTGTTGTCGGAAAAATCAGATTTTCATTTTCGCCTGGTTACCGACCTATCGATTTAAACACTTTCATTTTACCAAGCGAGAGCCTGGCGGAAAAAATCTCCTATCTGCTTGCATCATCTTCTTAGTGGATTTATCGAGATCTGATTAAATCAGATTTAGAGGAAGACGGTATACGGGCTATGAAGAAACAGAGAAGATGTTAAGACGAAGTTTTACGAGAGAGATGGTAAGGTTGAGCTGGAGACGCAAGCACAGCGATAGAATTTAGCGTGTTTCCATATGGAGAAAGCTGTCTCGCTCACAAGCCACTATCTACGTAAGCATACAACGTGTATACGAGGTATCTGCAGTGGCACGAGACACTCGCGTTACGTAACTCACAACATTACCGCGAAAGCCTATTTGAAAATCGGCAAATATTTTTTGTCTCACTGGTGCAACGTAATTTTATGAATCGCGCGTTAAACAGCTTTGCAAACGTTCGAGGATGTAATCGGCAGAACTTTCTATTTAACCTGTTTTCCACTGTTGCGCAAATCGCATGGAGATGTTGGAGCAACGAGAAGAGAGAAAAAAAAAGAACCACATTTCCCTGTATATTTAGTACGATTTTTCCGATAATTAATTTTTCTTCCATCGAGATTCGTCGACCAGGTTGCAAGAAAAATTTCGTTCTCGTCGATTTCGTAGAATTCGGAAATTCTCGTCGCATTGAATTTTTACATTCGTCGATACTTTTCCCACGAATACAGACGCTGCAACGACAGTCGAATCGGCTGTTAGCACGAAATTCTACCTTCCTCTTGCCATGAAAATTTCTCCACATACGCGAGATATACTGGTTCTTCAGCAAAATTTCCGAGATATGCCGGAAAAGGGAAACACGACCAGCTGAAACAGCCGAGAGAACAAAGCCACGCGGACTGTTTTTTCCAGACTACGTTAGCGGTTAATCACCATTCTCGGCAGACGTCGTTAGCAGCGCGGACGAATACTTGCCGAAAATGAAAACAGCAGCGCGATAATGTCACTGCGCCCCATTAGCCGCGCTTTCGAGCGCGACGGCTTGCGAAATAATTTCCAATGCTGCACCGTGCCGATCCGTGATTTACCATCGCCGTCGACTTCTCCATAAAAACATATTCCTTCGAACGTTAAAGTTCAAGGATGTTCAAAGCCGAAGAAACACGATATACAATTGTACTTACAAAAGAGCGAATTTGATCCACATGTTGACTTATTCAGCACTTCTTCTTGCTCTCGCTAGTTCCTCGACGATGTAAAGTAGAAGATGTGGTGGTGCACGTTGGTCGAGCAACCTTCGAAACTTCGCACCAGCGAATACTATCGTAACGGAAGAAACGACCGTAGAATACTGGCAACACGTTTTGTCACCGGACACTCGCGATCATCGTTGCCCTTTCTTCTCGACGACACTCGTCTTCCAGCTGCGACGATGCGAGAAACGAGTCGTGTCTCTCCGACGAACGCCACGACCTGTACCTTCGATACGTTTCACGCGTTCTCGCGCTCTCTCTCTCTCTCACTCTCTCTCTCTCTCTCTCTCTCTCTCTCTCTCTCTCTCTCTCTCTCTCTCTCTCTCTCTCTCTCTCTCTCTCTCTCTCTCTCTCTCTCTCTCTCTCTCTCTCTCTCTCTCTCTCTCTCTCTCTCTCTCTCTCTCTCTCTCTCTCTCTCTCTCTCTCTCTCTCTCTCTCTCTCTCTCTCTCTCTCTCTCTCTCTCTCTCTCTCTCTCTCTCTCTCTCTCTCTCTCTCTCTCTCTCTCTCTCTCTCTCTCTCTCTCTCTCTCTCTCTCTCTCTCTCTCTCTCTCTCTCTCTCTCTCTCTCTCTCTCTCTCTCTCTCTCTCTCTCTCTCTCTCTCTCTCTCTCTCTCTCTCTCTCTCTCTCTCTCTCTCTCTCTCTCTCTCTCTCTCTCTCTCTCTCTCTCTCTCTCTCTCTCTCTCTCTCTCTCTCCCTCTTTAACCCGACGTGACACGCAGAGGACTCTCCGACTATGTTGTACGAAACTACGAGAAGAGAGACACGGATATGGAAAAGGAGAGAAAGAGAAGCGGAAAAAGACCACCGGTGTGTGTATATATAAAAGTAAGAGGTAGTCGAAGGACGTGGTGAGGGTATGAGAACGGCGGCGAATGCAGGCCTCTACTTATACGCCACCCACCACGGCCACCTGGAGTACACCCCACCAGCCCATGAAAACTGGACACCACGTAGTCGAACTCGACTCGATGTACGCCACTCGAGAACGAGACTCAACAGATCCTGACTATTTGGTTGGTTACTCACTGGAATCGCGGCGAGCGAGTTAGCTGCTGGTTTACCTAGTTAACCGTCTATTCCGCCGCAGAACTCTCAGTTTTATTCTCAGACAGATCCAGTTTGCTTTGTATCGTATCATTCGTTCACCGTCTTCTTACATCTACCGTTTATGTGAATCTTTGTGTTTCGTTGTTCTTTCTCTTTCCTTTTTCGCCTCT